AAGGAGAGAGAGAGGGAAACTCCACATATACATATAGTGAAGGCATTTATCATGCGCGCGCACACACACACACACACACACACACACACACACACACACACACACACACACCTTCACCTAGGTGTGTATCCTCATTTAAACAAATTCAGGAGGCAGTGTAAGATGTATATGTCAAAAATAGTAATATTTTGGCTTTGGAGAATACACACTCACATAAACCAAGTGCAGTATCAAACAGCTCCAAACAGCGGTGACACACACTTTGAAAAATCCCTGCAGCGCATCCAGATTCTTTAATCCTGTCTTTCTCAATCCCTGCTTCTGCTTACTTCATCTCTCTTCCTTCCTTTCTTTCAATCTTTTTTCCGAACGTCTTGCTCATGTCTCAGTGACGCTTCAAACCTGCATCCCTACACCTGATGGCTAGCCACAGAGAGAGAGAGAGAGAGAGAGGGAGGGAGGGAAAGAGACAAAGTACACAGCTGGAAGTCAAACACACAGCAGGAGGCTGAGAAGTAAATGAGTGAAAAAAACAATAATAAAGGGAAAGCTAATGAATGAAAGTAGGGCTGGGAGCTGTGTGCTGTGCGTCCTCTACACAAACAGAACAATTAGAAATCAACAGACAGGAGAAACACTGGGGTGTTGGGATAGGGAGAGAGAGAGAGAGAGAGAGAGAGAGAGAGAGAGAGAGAGAGGGGCAGTAATGGACGACTTTGTGAAGCGATGGATGGATGGATGGATGGATGGACGAGGAGAGCTAGAGGAGTGAATGAACAAGAGGCAGGGGTACTCACACAGGCAGACATCCTCGCCCCGTTACCGATGACTACTTCCCTGCCTTGTTAGCTCCTCCGCCACGGTGACATTGCTACAGCCCCTTCTCCGTGGTACCCGGGGGTAAATCTCCTCGCGTCTGCCTCCTCTCTTTTTCTTCTTTTTTTTTTTTTTTTAATCCTCTGGGGCTCCTTTCCTCCTTCTCCTCTGCCTCTTTCCTTCCCCTCCCCCCTGCTTCTCCCTCTCCCTCTCCCTCTCCTCCGCTACACCTTTTCTTTCCCTATCTTCCTCTCCTGTCGGCTTTTTTTGCTTTGCCTGCCCGGTCCAGAGAGTCTCCTGCGAGGTCCTTCTGCGTCCTGCTCAGTGCAAGCAGGGAAGCATGCCTCTCTCCTCCTCTCTCACTTGCTCTCCATTGGTCTGTTTACACCCCTCTCTCTCTCTCTCTCTCTCTCTTTCTGTCTCTCTCAAAAAACACCGCCACTCTTTTTTTTCCTGCACTCTCCCTGTTTGTCTTGAGTATCTTCTCTTCTTCCTCAGTTGCTGCTATCTTTGTCTCACCCTCTCTTGTCTCACTGAAGCTGAAAAAAAAGGGGAAGGCTTACACCCCGCTAAAGTGCAACAGCGGGACAAACAAAGAGCGACAGAAAGAAGAACAGGCAAAGCTGTGCAGCCAATGGAACAAGAGGGAGGCAGAAAGAGCACTGGAGACAAAGAGTAGAAATAGCGCAAGAGCATTACAGACAGAAAGAGGGGATGGAGAAGTGGTGGTGGTGGTGCGGGGGGAACACGCACAGACACCCACTCATTCACCGTCACATACATACAACAGAGTGCTCCAGATATAGACCTATGACTTCATCAGTTCAAACCCATGTGCAGACACACGCACACATGCAAATGTGCACGCCTGTAGCTGCGCGTGCACGCAGTCAGACTTGCTGAGTGCTCCAGATATAGCTTCATGACTTCATCGAGGACCAAGCCCCCCCAACCCCACCCCCACCCCTCCTCGTCCCGCCCTGCTTGAGAGACGGGGGGACTCATTCATATTGAATCAAGCTGAAGGAGATAGAGAACATTCAGGACAAGACTGGGAATATTCCTCAGATAGATGGATAGAGAAAGAGACGGAGAGAGAGAGGGATGGAGGGACTAAACGGGGCAGAATCTTTCATGCTTGCTTTTGGAAATTTCTCTCTCTTTTTTTAGCCCCTGTTATTTCTCTAGCTTACCTGTTCAAATCCCATGCTCCCTATCTCTTGCCTGTTTTGCTTTCTTCCTCTCTCACTCCCTCACTTTAAGAAGAACATCTGTCTTCTTTCTGTCTATCAGCATCTTCCAGCTTGAGTCAGTTAGCTAACAGCCATTACCTGTCTGACTTTGAACACTCAGTGTTCGGGCAAATCAGTCTCCCACAGATCAGCACACTGCTCCTGTGCCTCTCAAGCCAGTCACACACTACAGAGTATTAAGGAGGATGTCAAACACTTGAGCAAATATATGAACAACTAAACATTAAACTCCTACAGTGATTGTTGAACATCTCACACTGGAACCATGGGCATTGATATCCTGCTGTAACAGCCTCCACTCCCGTTTTTCCACAAGATTTTAGAGCCTGGCTGCAGGATTTACTCCCTCACGGGGGGAATAAATTGGCGCTCCAGTTCATGCCCAATGGTGCAGGTTGGAGTTGAGGTCAAGGCTCTTTCTAGACCAGGTTCTTCCACTCCAGAGTTCTTTGTTTTTTAAAAAAAAAAAAGTCCTTACAAAAGAAAAGATAATTAGAACCTATCAACACAGACCAACCGAGATGAGCAGCAGCTAACAAAAAAATATTGAATGAATCTGCTATGAATGCAAGAGACTACTCATACAAAGACCAGTTATAAACATGCACAGAAAGCTAATCATAGATTAAATGATAAGCTTTTCACATTTCATTCACTGGTATATAATGAGTCCTGTGGTCAGAAAGAAAGATAAACCAAACTACCCATCAGAAAAATGAATCCGATTTTACCAGTGATACAATGATTGCCTCCTAATACAAAACTTTCAGAGTTATTCCCATGCATGTCACATCACAAGTGCAGCCATCTCCACCACATGGCTCGCTATACACACATTCCACATAGATAAGAAGACGCGTGTCTTTCCATTTATGCGAGTTGGCAATCAATACTTGAAACGATACATTCTCTGCCATTAAGATTGCCAATTCTGTATATTCATATTCATCATCATGTCTTCATGGACCTGGCTTTGTCTCATTGAAACAGGAGAGGGCTTTCCCCAGGCTGCTGCCACAAAGCTGCACAGTATTGTCTGAAGTATCATTGTCATTGTAAGCTGTAGCCCTTTTAATGCCACTAGAGGCCTAGCCTGAACCACGAGACAGCTCCAGACCAAAAATACACAAAAGTATATAGACACCACAGGCCAGTACTCATGATGTATTATATCAGCTTCTCTGGAACCGCAGACTTTGAGTATAGTGCACTCTAGTGGCAGGAGTAAGTAATTCCAACCTCTTGCAAAAGAAGCTCTTGTCTCTCGTACACACACTCTTGTCTCAGATACACACACCATGAAGCAATTTGCTGCATACATGGAAAGTGCATTGTGATCCCAGAGCATCAAATATGCTCTACATCACAGGGTAATATCATAGTGCATACTGAGTCATGAGCCTGCAACCAAAAAGAAGAAATCAGACTGTCGACTGCAGATTTTAAAGTGCTGGTGGGAGGAGAGGATGAAGAGAGTGGAAGCTGCTGCTGTAAGAGAGAGAGAAAGAGAGAGAGAGAGAGAGAGAGAGAGAGAGAAGAGATGGAGTGAGAGAAAAAAAAGGATAAGAGGGAGAGTTATCCTGGGCCAACCCTCCCCTCGTCTTTCCACTACACGCTTTATCCATTACCGCTGAGAGAGACAGCCACTGAAAGTTTCTCAATCCTCTGAGACGGAAGAGGGTGGAGGGACTCTTTCCCTCCTCTTTATCTATCATTCACATACACACACGCACGCACGCACACGCACGCACGCACACACACACACACACACACACACACACACACACACACACACACTGCTGTGAAGGAAAAAGGGAGGATGAGAGGAGGAGAAAAGGAAGAGTGGGAGGGTGTGAGGGATGCTGTGTGTGAGGTAGACTATAGCATCACTTGGAAGATAAAGAGAAAGAGAACAGAGATAGAAAAAGACATAGAGTCAGGAAGAGGGAAATGAGGGGAAAAAAAATCAAGGTAACAAGACTTTGGCGAGCATGAGCGAGTGAGATCAGGCATTTTACACAGATGCTATTTTAAAACTCCATTTTCACCCAGTCCCTTAACAGCTGATTACACATGTCAGGACCAGACAGCTTCTCAGACTGCAAACCTCCACCACTCTTCTCTTTTCTACATTCATTGTGTGACACATCTCCAATGTGAATCTCCCCAAGTCTCTTAGCTCTTAGTGCTTTACCATTTGGTACTGAGGAAAGATTTTTACAAGGCCTTTCTACTGCTGTAAGGATTTTCTGTGTAGCTTATATGAGTATATGCGCACAAGCAAATATGCAAACATGTTTCATACATATGAAATCCATGCATGTACATATGTTACATCCAGCTGTGTACAGGCTTTGTGTCAGTGTTTGAAGTTGTTGCTTCATGGGTTAATGGAAACCCTCAGGGGCCCGTATCAATGAGGGCTTAGCTTGTCCCCGCCATTAGCAGCTGTGCTAGCCTCAGCACACTGACAGCTCACTAGTGAAAGGTTAAGACCATGGGACATTGCCAAATGGCTGAAGGCCCCATAGGTCCTCAGTGTGGAACAGAAACATGGAGCAACGGGCATAATTATGTTGTTTTGAATACAGTTTGTGCAAATATGCATCAAATAATAATGAGGCTGATTCTAACCTCTGATGATTAGCTAAAACTCCTGATTCAGCTTCTAACAGCGAAAATATTCCACACATGCACTTTACAGTGTGTTACTGTGGCCTATGTGTTGTGTGTTTGCAAATTTACAGGATGTGTATGATTGTAGTATGATTTACGTGCTTGTTCTTGTTTGCATCTCATTCAAATTCGAGAGGACAGAAGACACAAGGAACTGCTAAAACGGTGGGAGCAGACAGACGAGCATACTCGGAAAGCACCTTCAACGAAAAATGGTTTCAGTAAAGAAGAAAGATATTTGTGATCTCCACCTACCTGTCGTGGTCTCGGCCGACGCCCCACACTCGGATGCTGCTGATTGGCTGAGAGTGGAGCAGGCTGCGATCATCTGGGTCAACCAGGGTCAACATGCGGTCTTGAAGCACCAGCAGCATCCCTTTACCCTGTGAGACCACAAACATACGCTAAAGTGATGGAGCGAGGGTCAGGACCCCCTCAAGGTGTCACAGGATGATTCAACATAGGGACATAGGAACAACATAGGAAATTAGAAAAAAAAACACATTGCATATAAACAAATTATATTTATTTTTTCTGACATTTCTGACTTTTCTATGATCATTGCTTATTATGTGACATAATAGATATTTTAACTCTTCAGGCCTCTAAACTACAAGCATAACAAGCAAAAGGAAATAATGAGCTCTACTCATTTTAAATCACTTTAGGTTTCTACCAGTCAGGAGCAAAAGTCCATTGAATTCACACACAGCACAGGGTGAACACTCGCAAACTGTCTTATGTTTTTCTTTTCATTAAACCATTAGCAACAATCCACTTACACACATGAATGTTTAAACTGAGAGGCCCATTCAGTCTTTGGTTGAATTTCTTCCACCTCATAGACATGCAAACTGTCTCTGTTGACACACTGACCTCTCCCCAGACGCCGGCTGAGTCTCGTATGTCCCTCCTGCAGTAGGACAGCTGTCTGATACAGTGGTGGACGGCCACACTGCTTCTCCCCTCGCACAGGTCCTGCTCGGCCATCTCCACCCAGCCCAGAGATCGCACTGGAAATGACTGGAAAGAAGAGACAAATTTGTTTTTTCACACTTGTAGAGATTCACAAAGTTGCTTTAATGTTACATACCTTCCCTCTACCTTCTCTAAGTTAACTGAGTTTGTTTTTCAACATAGATGTTGTTTTAGCAGTTTTGCCTGTCATTTGCTTGGTTATGACTTCACTGACTTCGCCAAAGTGATTGAAATTTCAGAACAGTTCAACATGACAATAAAGTCTGACATGGCGAGAAACAAGAGCCAAGCCAAATTTAAAAAAATGATCTAAAAACCACTTTATATGTATATTGTGTATTATGTAATAAATAATAACCTTAAATAATAAATAATATGCCATTTCATTTTGGGAAAAAAAGTCAGCACACCCATGTCAAAATGTTGAAACAAGTCTTGGTTGTACAGAAGAACTATGTGTGCACATTTACAGCAAGTAAGGTAGGACAAAGTTGAAGCAAGATGTCACTGAAAACTGTGATGGGTGATAAGAAAAAAAAAAGCAGTAGGTGATAATTTCACTGTTTGCTCATGTTAGTTTCTTCCAAATAAGTTTGACTAATCTGTTGGTTTGTTTAAAGTCTGTTTTATCTTTGGACCACTCATGCTAACTCTGTGTGACTTCTTTAATATCTCCACTGCGTCAGATCTCAGTATTTAATTTGGTAAGTACAATGTCACCATAACTAAAATAATCAAATGTAAAAATGTAAAAACATCCAAGATCCAAGTTGACATGCATCACAATTTTCCTTTAGACCTCATTATCGACTCATTCTTAAACTTAATTATAATGTTGATCTTGTAACCCCTGTATAAGAACCCACACATACTAACACACACACACACACACACACACACACACACACACAGAAACTCACACAAATTTCCTCTTAAAGTTTTGTTTTGCCTCCAGAAGCACAGTATGAAGTGACAGCTACTGTACCATAACAAGCAATAACTGAGAGAGGTTTGATTGAGGAAGACAACACATGAAATATGAAAGACTGTGTGTGCGTGTGTGTATGTGTGTGTGTGTGTGTGTGTGTGTGTGTGTGTGTGTGTGTGTGTGTGTGTGTGTGTGTGTGTAGACCGCCTCAGGCCAGCAGCTATGACTGTCCTCTCTCCCTCTTTCTCTCTCTCTACCACAACAAGGAAGTCTTCTCTGCTGAGGAAAACCTCAGGATAAATTCTTCAAGCTCTGCAACAGTGTGCATTTCAGCACATACACACACAATCACTCATCATCATCACCATCACCATCACCATCTCTCTCTCCCTCTCCCTCTCTTCCATTGACTGTAATATTCTCTCTTGGTTTCTTCACACTTTCACACAAGCTGAGACTCTATCTGAATTCCCACACCTACCTCTCCCTTGTGTTTCTGGGTTCCTCTGGGGCTGTGGAAAATCTCAAGCTTTTCTTTCAACTGAATTTTAATATTAAAGAACCTCTAAGTCTCATTTTCTGTCCTGTGGGATTTTTTCCCCCATCTACGATAAAGTAGAAATCCTAACTAAACAGGAAGGACGTATGTTGGACATCTACTTGTAGTTTTGGCATGTATAACATGATGCAACACTTGTCTTTATATTCTGCCTTCTTACAGCTAAATTCATGAATGTGGACATGCAACAGTTCTTTTAATCTTTTAATGTTGAATTAATTACACTTTTTTTTTTATTGGTGCCACTGCCATTCATTTTTTTTTTTTTACATTTTTGATATTCCAACATCTTTCCCACTTGTACTTTCCCTGTGAACTCTGGTTGAGCATTTCTACATCCTATCCATCCACATGGGGGTAGCAAAAGCGAGTTTGCCCGTAAAGGCATTCACCCACAATGTAGTTCACACAATGACCACTGAGTGGCACTGCTACAGAGAAAGAGAGAGAGAGAAGAAGGACATGATGCCACTGAGCAGGTTCATCATGTCGTTGCAAACAAAGCCCGGTGACTTCCCTTCAGTGACAAATTCATGATTTGAAGGTCAGAGGAATATGTGTTCATCAAATGTTGTGAATGGTGCCAAATGGTGTCATTAATAGGTGGTTACACCATGTTACTAATAGAGTCTAATTATATCTGAGAAGTATTTGAATTCAGAAGTTGGAAAACCACCCATATGGTGAAAGTCTGCCGGTTACTGAAGTGATAATATTTGAATCCTCACAGACATATAGCTTTGGGCCTTTGCCTGTAATCTTGTAATTTCCTATAACTTTGTCCTGACTGGTCACCACAGACATTGTGAGCAAAACAAATTATCGTGAAACAGTCTGAAAAAGGTGCCTGCCTGTTTCAAAATAAATTAGAAAAAGTACAATCCTTAGCACTGAACATTTAGGACTTTGTCTGGTAGAAAGTCCCAGCAGATGATTGGTTATTTCAAGTTATTTCAGACACAAATGTCAAGTATGTTGGTTTATTTTTTGACCTAGTCAAGTCATGAAGCCATTGAAAATAACTAAAATAAGTTTTAAATCACATTACTGATGATTCAGAATGAAAGCTTTCAAAACAGGCCACAAATGCAATCTGTGATCAGCCACAACATTAAAACCAGTTACCTGTTTTAATGTTGTGGCTGATGGGTGTATGTTGGTTTTATGATCTTACCATTGCCTCTGGGTTGGGGAAAGTATTGTTGAGGTCCACTGTCTCTAACTGGGCTGGAGGGCTGCAGGGAAACATCAGATACAACAAATAGTCACAGCATAGTTATATATCATAAAACTAGCACATGAAAAAGCATCATGGCTCAGACCTTGGTGCACGAAGCTAGTGGAAAAACTAGAAATGATACTGTAGAGTATGTCAGTGTTTATTACTTGAGTTTAAGCGAAGCATAGCGGAGGGTAGCCCCTTCAAACGCCTTCAGACTGGGATCTGGATAGACTGGATAGTCCTTCAGCTCCTAGAGCAAAACAGACAGACAGAGAGATAGATGCTGAGAAACAGACATTAGTGGCAGATGAAAAGCTGTCAGGTTCTGATATTGACTTTATCAACTTATTTGATTTCATTTGCTTTGTAATAGCTGAAGAGGAGAATACTCATTTCAACTTAATATGAGAGATATTCATCTTTGTTGAATATGCACTTCAGACTGGCATGGACAGATATTACTGTGTGCTCATTCCAGTTTAATAAGTGCGGCAGTGACAGCAGAGATTAATCGATAACACCATCAAGCTTTGGGGGGAAAAATGCAGAATTAAAACAGGTCTATGTCTGGTGTTACTGAGATGAACCAAAGCTGATAAAATGACTGTGATGTGTAATTTAGACACAAAAGCTGGACTAGGAATCACAGACTTTGTAGCGATGATGGTAAAAAAAAACTCAACATAACAATAAAGGATGAAATAAACAGTAAATAACAATAAATAATGTTCCATGTCAGACCAAAATTAAGTAATGAAAATTTAAAATAAATATAATTAAAAATGAGAGTGAGGGTAACCATTTCAACAAATAAATGTGTCCATGTCTTACGTTGGCTATGCAGGTGGTGGTGGTGAGATTTGGTCCAGAAGAGGTGACATCATTTGAGGGGGTGGAGGAGGGGGAGGGGGAGGAGCCAGAGGGGGAGGGGACGGGCTCCACCGAGCTGTCAGATATCAGACTGCTGGGGCGCTGTGGGAGAGAGAGAGAGAGAGGGGTAAAGATAGAGAGACAGAGAGCGATGCAGCACGAGAGAAGCCGAGACAGACAGAGAGACAGACAGGTGGTGAGGATGGTGTGTGCATCACTGCTCACCAACAGCTTTCTAATATACTGGAGTAAGATTGTATTTGTACCAGTTAAAGCATCAACCTTTGTCACAAATTCATCACATAATGGTTTTTGAAAAATACTTTAATAAATATGTCACAAAAACAATCTTAACTCAATTTCAGCTTTCAGTCACATTTCATCAGCAGACCGAGTTTGCTAAGGTTTCATGAATGGCTCACTGAGACCGTTAGATGTGGTTAAAACCCCACGAAAAACTAGTAAGTGGACCTTGAGTTAGGAGTGTTTTGTCCAGCTAGTATTTTCAATATTAAGACCTGATTTTAACGCCTAATTTTTATAAATAAATGTTTTAGCAAATTCTTTCTTTTATAACGGGCATCAATGACGAGTCCAATGGTTTAAATGTTACAGAGGAGTGGAAGCACGTTTGCTAGAGACACCTCACTGCCAACCAGTTTATGAGGATAGCATAACTTGTAGATATAAGCCTCAACTTTTTCACCAATAATGTGTCACGCTGATCTGAAAGAAATTAAATTATGTTTTCCTTTCCTCAGATATGTTTTACATACGAAATTACCTGCACAGAAGTGTGTTTCCTCACAGGGATGTGCGGGGATGTGCAGGAATAATAATCTCTTACACCACACTGAACATTTAGCTTTGAATAAAAGATCACGTAACCTTTAAACATGTAGTGCTATTATCATTAATATTCAGCGTTTTTCTCTCTGGGGATTGAATATGTTGACATTAAACAATCTTTAGCTTTAATTAAAAAAAAAAAAACCTACACTGGTTGAACCTGAATATATGGCCTTGTAAAATATAAGGGCGAGTTAAATATAAATATGTTAGACCACAAGGCGTGTTAGATCATTAGTTCTGACCTCATTGAGGGGCTTGAGGGAGTCCTGTGATTGCTGTTGTGGGTCACGCTCAGTGTCTGGCTCATTGTTGGGAGATGTGTGTTGGTTGCCGGAGGCAACAGGTCGGTGGTACTGTGTGGTGCCAGTGGGGACGTGCCAGAAATAGACCTCTGATGAATCTGAGATCTCCCGCCAGCCTGGAGGTAGGTCCCCCTCACTCCATATATCTGCTGATGGATGACAGCGATACATAAACACATATTGCACATGAATGCATCACACAAACACATACATATGTATGGCTGCACACAGGCGGGCTCTGCAAAAACATATTAGACTATGACATATGCACACCCAACATATGCACATACAAAAGGCTCACACTCACCCACACACGCACACGCACACACACACACGCGCACACACACACACACACACCACACACATAGACAGACAGACAGACAGGGTTGAACAGGGTAAATTTCTGAGATGGTCAGTCTGTCCCTACTTAGTTTCTGTTGTCATAGCAACTCTGGGGCTCATCCCCTGTAGCAAGATCCAATGGGCAACAGCCTCTCCCTGCTGGTTTTATTTTTCCCTCTCTGCTTTCTAATATATCTTTCCATACCCACATATTCTCTAACTATTGCTTTTTCATACATCTTTGGCAATCATCGCTTACTAAACGCAGCCCTGCTTTTTTCTCTTTCCTTTTTTCTTCCTTTTTCACACCCTGCTCTCTGCAGTATCCTATCCTTCTGTCCATCCTAATCACTCTGCGCCATAAGGGGGCTCACAGGGGCCTTAAAGGTTCCAGCAGTATTACTGGAGTGACTTGCTTGCTTAAGAAGAGGCTTTTGGTAAATTTCCAGATCAGACAGTCTGTAGGAGGTAGAAAGAGGGAGGGAGAGAAAGAGGGAATGAAAGGAGGGTGTAATAAAAACATGATTAAAGGCTGACACAGATATGCTAATCTTTTTAAAAGAAAGATCAGATGAAAGGACAAACACACACATATCGAACCTGTCTCTTGTGGAGTCTGAGGAGACGGCGTCTCCTGGGACAGGGTAGTCCAGCTGGAGTCTTCATCCTCTGATGGAGTGTCAGGTGTCAGGTCCATTCTTAAACCTACTTTAGGGAGCCCAGTCTCTGTTTCAGGATCTGGTAGGGTCGGAGGAGCTCGGGTTCGGGTAGGTGTGTTCCTCTCTGCAGCCCGGGCCTGTCTGGGAGAGGAAGGTGGGTACTGTTGCAGAAATTGGTTCTCATTGTTGGGGTGCAGCTCCACCTTGATCACCCGGGGCTGGGAGCTGCGAGGGGGCTTCGCAGGACTTCGTGGACTAGCCTGAACCTGGACACAGAGCTCCTCCCTGACCTGGGCTGGAGCCTGGTTCTGTAGCTGGCCATGGTTGTCTGGGACCCACTCTGGACTGTTGGTGGAAGAAGAGGAAGTGGAGGAAAGTGGGGCTTCCACCACCACTGGCAGCAGAGGCTGTCTTGGCGTGGGTGTGGGGTCATCTTCCTCTTCCTCCTCCTCCTCCTCCTCCACCACTGGCTCCACCTCCTCCTTCTCTTCCTGGCAGGTCTGCTTGCTGTTGGGTTTTTCCTCCTTCTGGCTCTCCCTCTCCTTGGCAGGGCTAGCCTGCTCCTTCTCTGGAGAAGGCTGCTGCTTCTTCTCCTCCTTGTCCTCCTTGTTTCCCCAGTTGAAATCTAGATCCCAGCCCTTCCCATGATACTCCAAGAAGCTCTTGGTCCTTCTGCGGAAGAGGGGCTGCTGTGAGTTGTCTTTCCCAAATTCTAGCCAGTCAGAAGTGGGGTTATTGATGAGATCGTTGTGTATTTTGCCCTCTGTATTGGCCCTACTCAGCTCCAGCTGCTGGCTCTCAGCTCGTCTCTGCATGTTGGCCCCATTCTTGGCCAGTTTGGGGTTGGTTGCATTAAACAGCGAGGAGGAGGAAGAAGAGGAGTAGAGGGCTGAACTTGAGGAGGACTTGGTGGGGAGGCCTCTACCTCGGGTCACAGGTTGGTTTTTAGATGACAAAGCCAAGTTGTCACTTATCCCCATGACGCTCCGCACACTGGTCATTGTGTACCGCTGACGGCTCTTTGGCAAAGTGGCAGAACTTCCGGTTTCCATGGACTCCTTGATGACATCGCGCCCAAGCAGCTGGTTGTATGACGAACGAAGGCTGAGGGAGGTGGGCGGGGTGGAGGAGGGCCCGCTGCGATTGGCCAGACCCACATTTGAGGGTGAGGAGCCAGAGCGGGAGAGGGGAGGAGTTTGCACTGACGTCATGGCTGACTGGGAATACACTGCTGTGATGGAGCTGGTGGGAGAAGAGACACCACGTCAGAAATAACTTTTTAGAATTGATTGATATTCTGATGCAAATACTTGAGAGTTAAAAAAATAATATATAAAATATGGACCATTATTATCATTATTTTTTGCATAAACAGAACATAAACCAACATTTATGAAAAACATAATTTAAATTTCTTTTTTAAGACTTGTAACCTGGGTGTGCACTTAGGTGCTGAGCTGAAAATTCATTGATCATGGTCCTCACTTCCTATTTCCGCTGACTCAGTCAGAGTACTCTTTCTCCTTGTGGTTGCAAGCTTCTTTTACGCCCACTTATCTCTGTAGCTGGCTAATAGTTGGTCACTGGGTTAGTATATTTTTAAAAGCTATGCTTACATGCTGTCCTAAAATTACTACACTACTAATTGAAACATAATTTCATACAGTGTTGTTTTTTTGTTTTGTTGTTTGCTCAGTATAACTGCTCATTTACTTTTCTCTGATTTTACAACTACATATAAAGCTGATAAAACATCTTGCAGTCTCAGAGGCTTTTATCGATGCACTAATGTGCAGATCCTTTTCTGGGTTCTTGTCCTATTTTTGTTTTTACACATAAGGTGTCACTGTTGAAGTGTCAAAAAACACTGCATCAAAGTCATTAAGCCAGGTTGCATTTGCATGATATTAGTTGTGAGTCAGAGCCTCGATGTATTCATCCCAGGACTGACATTCAAAGCTGGGGCTGAGCAGCACAGGCCTGGTCTTTGGGGAGGAAAAGTGGCAGCCAGCTCCTGCTAACTGGCTAGCCGTGCCTCTTTTATCTCTGGGTGGATCAGCTTTGTGATGTTGAATACAAACAGATGAATAGCAACAAAGAGAGTGACAGAGAATCATTATGATCTTAAGACATGCCACATGTATGGGTTCCATCACTGTCACTTTTCTTTTTTCTTTTTCTTGTTTTCGACTGATTTAATTAGGCAACGACCCTGTGGAAAGCTGGCAAACAACAAATACAGGTAGAAAAACATGCCCAGGCACGCAAGCCTAATGTATAAACATCCTTTCAGCCAATAAGATACACACACATACACGCATACACACCTCAAACAATGCTGCAATCATCATCAGCGCCTTTTCTCAGAAACATGGAAAACACAAACGTGGCAGATTTTAAAGCACGATAAGATCTTGGGAAAAGACAGAGGCAGGATTTTTGGAGAGAGCAGAATCCCTGGGCAGTACACTTTGCTCATGCGGGGCCCCTATCCGCTCTCCTCTCCCTGGGTGGTTGTTGTGTTGTCCCTCTGTCACAGAGCCAGACAACCACAACAACCTGTTTGTGCTGAATCTGCACTCGCACTCCAGGCCTTTGACTCAGACACAAACACAGTGTCAACAGGTACAAACTACCTGCACTGAACCGTCCTGTCTCATCAGAATATCAGCCATCCTCAATCAGCAATGCTTATCACTACAGTTGTTTTTATATAAATTTTCCATTTAATTGATGGACTATATTCCTCTGCAGGCTCAAATAAATTTTCACTTTAAGACTCTGATGATGTCAAAATTACATTGAAACAAAGCTACAAGCCTGAAAAACTGACATTTGGGACACATAAGCGTTACACCAGACGGCTACAAATTGTGCCTTGAGCCACTGAAGCTGAAAATCACAGCAAATATGTCGCATGACTCAGAGGACGAATTACACATCGTGACACAACCCCAAACACTGACAAGAAGTAATAAGCAAACAGTATTTCAACTCTCCATTGTCTTTTTCTTCCAATTCTTTTTAAAATGATATCTGAGTTGTGGACAAACTGGATCATCTGAGCAGAGATAGCGGCCTTTTCTTACACTCCCCCCCCCCACCTCCACCACACTGACAATTCAGCCAGGGCTCCATTAGTTAAACAAAGTGGGGTGAAGAGAGGATGCGAGGAGAGTGGGGAGGAGAAAGGCTGGTCATTAGAGGGAGAAAGCAAGGAGAATGACACAGCAGTTTGCAGGACAGTCACCACTCAGAGGCGGTTAAACTGTTGTCCTCAATAAATCTGTTGTGCTCTGGAACAGCAGAGGTCATTCATGAGATGCAGGAGATTTTAGCAGCTGGCCACAGGACAGCAGCAACATGTATACTAATAAAACAATAATGCTTCATTAAAACCTCTCTGCTCCTGCTGCTGATCTTCCCTGTGTGTGTGTGCTGTACTGCCAGCTTGCAATTAAATTGAAAATCATAGTGATGTAAGAGAGAAAACAAGCATTTGCCTCCTGCAGATTTACTTGCATGATAATACAGGAGGAGACTTGTTGACAGACAAAACTGTTCCTTGTCTATTTTGAAGCAAAACAGGATCCATATCTGCTCTAGCTGTTTATACTGTCTGCTCACCTTGTTTACAGACCCGAGTGAAGGTCACCTAAAAAGAAAGATCAAATTCTTATCACTTCACACCAATAATCTATGCTTCATGAATTCATCATCAGATCATTTCCAGGCACTGACAGAGATCTTGGCCTGTCAGAGGAAACATTTATCAGCTATACTCACTGTAATAGCAACTCTGAGCAGCAGCCGCTGCTTTAGAAATGAAATGCAACAGATGAAAGCACGGGCAGGGGAGAAAATGAACTTGAAAAAGTCGATGATGTCATGGGTGGAGTATCCTAGTCCCTCGATTCTTGCTGCCTCCTTAATAAAGTCCCTCAAATGTCTGACCCTGATATATCTGAAACAGCGTTAGATCATCTTTACATCTACCATAACGCCGAGTAGGCCCATGCATAGGTGGAGTTGCCAACATTGCATAAGCGAAGCTGTCGATAAGTGAACAGAAGCCGTAAATCTTCAGCATCCTGTCCATCTCCCTCCAGCCCCGTCACCACCACCGCCGCACAGGGAGGGGAGCGCATCCCAACGAGAGCATCTATTTACATCCACTCACCGCTTCGGTCAGCCTCCGGGCTTCTGCGCCTCCGCTCCCACGACGACACACACGCACGCACACACACACACACTCACACACACATACCCAGACACACACTAGTGAGCAGGGGCCGAGGTCGACAGCCGCTTATAAGAGCCAGTCCGCCCGTAGCTGCAGCCGGCCGCCCGTATTGGATCACATCACAACATCATCTGCCCTCCCAGCCGGTGCTCGGTGCTCGCTGCTCGCTGGCGGCCAAGCTGCGCTTTCTCTCTGCGCCAGAGGATCCCGGAGCGGCGCGGCGCTGTGGAGCTCTCCACCCAGCCGGCCAATCAGAGCCGCGGACGCAGGACGCTCGGCGCACGGAGGAGACGCAACCATAATAAATCTACCGGTGTTATTTTGCAACCCAGGTAATGAAATCACACATCATCGGAGTCTTACGTCATTCGGTGGTCTGGAGAAATATGAATGGTTTACAGTGCTGCACATGTCTGTCTCTGAAACACAGGCAGGTGTGGTTCTCTTTAGATAAATACTGCATGAGGATTGATTCGAAGTGACCCTAAAACTGTAAAGTTATTTCCATAGATACAAGTCCAGACTATACTTTAGTTCTGCCTTTTTAAAAGTAACCAGACATCTATAAAATAGCTTTTTAAGATATTTATTTTTTTTGTTTAACGGTAACACAGAACATCTTCCTCACAGTGCATCATAATTCACTCAGGTAGTTGTATGGTATGGTATTGTCCATCATTTATACCTTTTACAATTACAGACAGCACTGAACCATTATACGTAAGAAATTGTATTATTGGAGGATAAATATGATACTGTTTCAGTGGTGTAAACCCAGCAATACATTTTACAGGAAACAAAATTATGATCAACATTTTTTGTATGATTAATCCCACATCAGAGGAAAGAGAAACCAGTAACAACCTGAGATTCTCAACCCACTCAAAGGCACCTAGATCATTTCCTGACCCATAGCATCATTTATATTACAGGGAAGCTTATAAGAAAACACAGAAATCTATAATAGAAAAGACTCCATCCCTCATTCTGTACACAATATTGTCAGACCCTGTATCCACAGCTCTTTCAGACTTATTATAAAAAATCACAATATATTAACATACTTGACCAAGTATAAAACCGATTCACTCTATTCAGGCTTCACAATATGTACAAACCTAACACACTTTGACCTTTCTCCTCTGGTAAAAAAAAACATTCACTGTGTAATACATTCCTCATTTTGGCCTGTGATGGCTCAGGATAACTATCCAATCCCCACAGTCCATTGGCAGGTTCCTCCCTCTGTGCTGTGGGGATGGAGTTGAAATGGCGTGGACGACAGCATCGGGGGGGCACACAGGCTCCCAGTGCTCCAGGAGTGAGGCAGGAGGGGAAGGGTGGTGGGGTGACTGGCGGACGGAGGGAGACAACTGGCCAGAGGGGAGAGCGGCTGCTGGAGCAAACGGCTGGCTACAGAGAAACAGGGAGCTGAACGGATGGAGCGCAACACCGCATCTTCTGCTGAAGAAGAGAGTGGGACAGACGAGGAATCAATTTCTCATTCTCACAGATATTATCACTGCTGTCTTGGCTCATTAAAAGCTTATCCCACGCAGTGTCACCAGTAATAAATGCTTAAAAGGCAGGAAATAATACAAATGTCTATTTGTCTAATAGAGTGTGTGTGCCTACCCTTTCTGTCTGTGTCATTAGGAGGTGTCAGTAAGCTCTGAGCCTGCTTGTTTCCTGTGTGAGCGGCTTGTTTGTAGAACTCAATCGCCGTTCTCAGGTTCTGCTGCACCCCGAAACCGTTCTCGTAACACTGACCCAGGAACAGCAGAGCGGTGTCATCCTGAGCACAAAAACAAACAATCTTGAAGAGCAACAATATTCTAAATGAACAAGGACTTGACTTGTGATGATTGTGCAGAGATAAACAGGAAACGTAATATTGCACATTACAAACTGACACCAGGAACTTAAATAGACACAGTAGTATGGGCAGAGGAGTGAAGATGCCACTATTAAACCACTCACACTAGCTCTGTGTGACTCAACTTTAGAGCTGTAGCTCTAAAGTGGGAGTACATAGTAACTGACAGTATCACTTTAACACAACTGCAGAAAGAAGGAGAGCACCTAAACTAAATAAGCTGTGAATATCAAAAAGCTTCCATATGCAGAGTGACTGATATATTACATTTGGAAGCAGGGATGAAGTCTCAGAGGTAAAGCCATTGATAAAACTCTGGAAGCATCTAGAAGGGAACTCACCCCGCCCTCTGCTGCCATCTTCAGGTACTTGACAGACTTGCTCCCGTCTCTCACCGGCTCCTGAGAGAAGACCGATGCAAGGCAGACCTGAGCCTGAGGAAGAGATCAATAAAAAAGGGGAGGGGTGGTTTTAGTTCTATAAAAGGCATGCAAACATCTGCTTATTCCTTAGGATTCCTTACTTACACATGTAGCAACCCAGCGTGGCTAATGGCAGGATTGTTTATCAGCACAATTACAATGTAATTTGAGTCATCACATTTTTTTTCTTTTACATTTTCAGTTCTTGTATTTTCATGTGTTATCGCACATTCATTTAATCTAAGTAACAGAGATAATTGTATTGAGCAATGTTGCATGAAAGTGCTAAAGATCTGATAATATTCCATGGAGAGTAGCATAATAATCTATGTTCTGAAAGTCCTGTTGAGACAAGACAGCAAGAGACATCTTAATTTCGCTCTGTGGTTCTCTGATTTAAACATTTTCTCTCCAAATGAAGTTGAGAAAAAATTTGTGGTTACATTAGAAACTGCTGGAAATGACTAAAATAACTTACAGCACAGCAACAAGATAAGACTACCATGGTAAATTACTGCTGGAAAATGATGTAGTAAGTAATGTTGTAAGTAACAGTGCAGGAAATTGGTAATATGCATTTTTTGAGGGATTTAGAATATACAGTTCTGTAAGGGTCAACTTGCACTAAATTTGAAACAAATTTTGTCATGACATCTACCTTGGTGAGTCCAGCTGCAGCGGCCTGTTCCAACAGGTCAATGGCTGTTTTCAGCTCCTCTAAACTCTGATGCCCCCTGCTGGTCAGGAGCAGCTTTGCATAACGGTACTGAGCTTGAGTGTGACCGCTGACTGAAGCCTGCCAGTAGTAATTCAGAGCCTGGAATAGAAAACATCATCTCATGACTGATTTCTGATATAAGAGAAGACTAAATATGATTTTCAGAATGATGAAAAACTCATGTGCTGTCTGGATGCTCACCTTCTCTCTGTCCTTGCTGACTCCTCTGCCTTTCTCATAGCACACGCCCACATTAAACTGGGCTTTGTTGTAACCCTGCTCAGCTGCAGCTTGAAAACAGGTAAAAGCTTGCTCATAGTTCTCACTCTTGACACTTTCTACACCTGCCATAAACAGACGGATGATGATAGTAACTAAGGGCAGACAAATATAAAGACAAATATATTCTGAAAAAAACTGCAGAGTAGCAAGTGAGAATATAGGATATTTGAGTCTTGAGTAGAAATCGAAGTGTGTAAATTATCTGGTGTGTCAATAAATCCTTACCAATGATGTTGAGGATAACAGGGATGCTGTTGTCTCCCACATGTCTGAGGTTCAGTGTTACTCCTGCCAGCCTCTCCTCATCAGACAATATGTCCTGAAAACACAGAGAGCATTAAAAAAACTACAGTAAAGATTAGGTGACAAGTCAGTCAATCCTTTGCAAGAATAAAGAAAAACATTCTTTAAAATAAACTTCACACAAACTAAAGGAAGTAGACTCTCACTTTGTCATTAGCATCTTTTGTTTCAGTGTTGTCTTGGGTTGCGTCATTCTGCAGAGGATGGGATGCTGACAGAGGTGATTCCTCTGAGTCTGGAAAGAAAAACGTATTATTTTGCTGCTCCCACAAATATTTGGTTAACAAAGTAAAAAAAAGAAAAAACTACATTTAAAAAATCTTTCATCAATGATTAACATAGAGAACAGAACAAACCGGGTATAGGTGAATCCTGGTTCAGGAGTGCCCTCTGGTGGTCAGAGATTGAGCTGTCAGGATTCAGACGCTCACTGCTGCTGTGAAGACTGGCATCACCTGTGCTACTGCTGCTGGTCTGAGCTGCAGTCTGATCGTGGTTCTGTCTCTCTGGCACCCCCTGCAGGCACAACACAGTCCTTCCTCTGGGCAGGACGTCATGCCTGGATACTGTACAACCCAGAGAGAAGCAACAAAAGAGTCAGGATTCCAGTCAGTTTTGAAAAAACTATTTTGGGAATGCATTTCATAAGTTGGTAAGAAAAAGGTGAAAAATCAGTGGGTTTATTGCTTAGTTGTAGTGATGGCATACGGACTCACAGTTCTCCAGAAGGATGCGGTAGCCACACTTGTGTAGCAAGGAGGGGGCTGTCAGAGATCCAGGGGTCGGACTGGGCTCTGTGCCTGAAGAGAACTTAGAGCGGATCCTCTTGCAGATCTGCATAAACAGAACTGCTGCTGCACCCTTTGGAGAAACATCAATGTCATTGTCAGGTCATGGCAATAAGGATGTGCAGTGGTACCACAAGTACCAATATATGTATGTCATCGGTTTGAGTGTTTACACACAAACAACAGATTGTAAATGTGGGTGGCAAACGAGTGGTTGTATGAAACAGAGAACAATATAATGTTGTGATACAAACCAAACCCCATATCAACAGTTTTGGGTATCTCTGAATTTACAATTTTATAATTGGTTTTAAAATTGGTGAAATAGTGTAACAGGCCATAAAAAAACACATATAAGGTAACATAGAAGACAGATGCTAAGATATAAGACATAATGGACAAACATACAGATAATAATATGAGACCCATTTTATGCATTCTGTTTTGAGTGTTCTATGGAGGATTTTGTTTTGGGAATTAACACACAATTAAACTAATTAAAGGCGCAACAACAGCTCCTCTCTTACAGCTTAATCAGAGACAAAAAAACTACAATTAAACAGTGGCTTAATGAGTTGATCAATACTCTGCAGCTTGGCACTGTAAGCTTCTTAATAAAAGATAGACTTTTACAGTTTCACAAGATCCTCTTACTCACAGTCTCTTCTATAATTATGCCAACATTAAAGACCACCTTAGAGAAGAGGATTGTTATTTACTCCCCAGGCTGGCTTTGGGTAATGTGTAATGTATCTGTAGAGGGGTGGAGGGGTGATTGCAGATAACATTTTTCTTTATGTTACCTATGCTCTTGTAAACAAGATATTGTACATCATTTTATGAGCATTAACTAATATTTTTGTGAAATGTGAAAATACCTGGCTGATATTTGTCCCATGCTTGCATTTACATTTACTAACATAATGG